CTGGATTTTCTCGCTGAATGGTAAAGATGGCCCTCTCTTTTCTAATAAATTTTCAGCTGCTATTAATAATAACTATAAAGTCTAAACTTAAGTAACTCACACTCTTCCTTGCCCCAGATACTACAACAATACATTCAGTATTTAAAGTTTCCTTCAAAGCTCTGGTTGTTAACAAAGTGATTTAGATGTAAACTCAAATGAAATTCATAAGGCTTCTATGCAATATTTTGCAATAAAAAAAATCTGTTGAAGTTTTCCACAGAAAGAGAACAACTAAAATGAGCATGAGGATGGAGATGCAGCATCTCTTTACTTACGTTTCGATGTAGGGAATAATTTGGCCATTCACTGTAATTAGGTGTTTGCCTTAGAATCAATGTGAATTAAAATTGATTTTGTGTTGTACTTAATTTGTACAATTTAGACCTCCAAATTGTTTCTTTTTAGCCTTTTCTTTCTCTCCACCACCACTCTGGAAATTCCTGGCTTCTGTCCTCCTTCAGCATTTTGATGTAAAGTTCAGAACAGCTGGCTACTTTTCTTGTTGCTTGGATGTTTTATCTACTGAGCTGCTACAGCTGTCCCTGAGTCTACAGCTTGCCACTGAGTTATCCCTGTATTTGCTGTTTAAGGCAAGCATATGTGGAACAGCCAATAGTGTAACGGAAGAGAAACACAAGAAACCCACTTCTGGCACTTTTCCCAGGCCATTTCTAGTGTTCTTGCTAGCATGTAGAACGGGCAGCTTTCTGTTTTAAAAATTCCAGCCTTCTAGGTAGGAGAGGCACTGAGACTAGGAAGAAAAATCTGGAGGGTCCAAGCACAGGGTTCAAAAGGTTACTGGGTTTTCATACATCAACACTGGCAGACCCGACAGAGCAGTGCTGTACTGCACAGGCCAATTGGCAATTCTCATGACAGGCCAAGAACAGGGATAGGGAACCTGCAGCCTTTCAGATGCTGTTGGATCCAGCTCCCATCAGCCCCAGTCATCATGGCCAGTAGTTAGGGATGCTGGGAGCTGAGCCTGGCAACTTATGGAAGGCCACAGGTTCCCCACTTTAGGTCAAGAAGATCCTAATAGGCTTCAGTTATGGGTGTACATATGGCAGCCCATCAGTGTGCAAATGCTACTCTTCTTGCATAGCAGTTTCCAAATGGTTGGGCAACTCTGCACATAGAAAGCAATTTTACGTGTGGAGCTTTCCCTCCATTGAAATGATTATGGGAGCTCTTGTTACCAGAGAGATATTGGTGTGTGGTGGACTAGAACAGCCCTCCCCAACCTGATGCATTCAAAACATTGTTGGACCACAACTTCCATTATTCCTGACCATTGGCCATGCTGGTTGGGATTTTTGGGAAATGGAACTCAGAACATCTGGAGGGTACGAGGTTGGGGAAAGCATGCGTATTAAAATCCCCCCCTCCCCCAAAAAAATGTAAGTTCAGAATTCTTATCCATTTTAGTAGATTGCAATCTACAACTGTGTAACCACTTGGAAACAAGCCCCATTGAACCCAATGAAATTTCTAAGTAGATATATATAGGATTGTACTCTTAGTTACTGAATGGTTTCACGACACTGTAGTGGAGAAGGCACAAATATAATATTAAAAGCAAAAAATTGTTCCTGAAATGGTATTTATAGCAGATGAAACTCTGATTCACTAAATAACAGCTTGCTGGACAAATAATAGTATAATAAGAAATAGGAATATTTTTTCTTCTGTTTTTCTTCTCAGAAATCCTTTTTATTTTTAAGCAGATAATTTTACTTATAGCTTTACAGCAACCCAGATTTAGAGATAATTTCCTGTGAGCTTGATATTATGAATCCTATTTAAGTATGCTTAAGATCTCTCACTTAGAGTTAAGTGGCAGAAGAAAAGGCAAAATTGTCTTTGCAGATGTTGAGAAGAAATTCTTTGCAGGCAATCATCATTTAATATCCAGTGCTGACTTTTTGAACAAGTGCTTTCGCTAAATGATAAATCAAATGAGTTGGCACTAACAATAATCTCTTAGAATATGAATGAGAAAAGCAAGAATATTAAAACAATAGAAACATTAACACACAAAACCCAGCCATTAGGAAAGGAATGGCATTGGGAAAATTAGCTGTTTCTTTTAGTGCATCTTTCTGCAACAATGCCTGGAGCACACACATTCTTAGTGGTATTCTTAGCATGCGCATTCATGCATGTAAATGAGTGTTGTCTGTACAACTCCCCAACTGGCCAACCCAATCCAATAGGTGGGGCTATGTGCACTGCTTGGAGGGGTGGTGGTTCATTTTTTAAGCAAATTAATATCTACTAATTAAGTTAGCCAGGATTGGATTCAGTGCTTGCCCCTGCCCCCAGTTCTCCTTCCTTACTAAGCAAATGATCGGTGGGGTTTCAGCATTGCTGTTGTTTTTCATAAAAAACAACAACACACATTTGTTTTCTAGCCCATATCCAAAAACCTAGTGGCACTCATTTTGAGAATCCCGCTCTTTAAGAGCAACTTGCAGAAAAATCATGTTTCCCCTGATGCAAGAGACAGCAATGTGTGTCCCCAAACGGAGGTTGGGATTGTTGGGTGTCCCAACAGGGATTAGTGCACATTTCTCTGAGCTGGAATGTGCATAGACTTGCACATATGTGGGCCCCTAGTTAGATTTATGTTATATGTTGGATCCAGAACTCTCCATGTTAGGTCTGGCTGGGGCTGATGGGAGTTGTAGTCCTAAACATCTGGAGAGCACCATGTTGACTATGGTGGGCAGTGGCCCGACAAGGTTTCAAGCATGGGTGTCTCCTAGCCGCATCTGAAAATGCCAGGGTTTGAACCTGCAACCTTCTGCATAAGAAGCATATGCTGTGTCACTGAACTATGGCGTTTCCCCATGGCAGGGGTTGTGCAGGGTTTGTGCACACACTGGCATGGGTATTGGCAGGATTTGTGTGTGTGTGTGTGTGTGTGTGTGCAGGAGGAAAATAAAAAACTGAAGCGGGGAGCAGGCTAACTTCTCAAAAATGAGAACAGTGCCTGGACATCATGTCTCAAATCTCAGGTTTTACAAATGCTATAAATTAATTTTTTGTTAAAGAAAGCAAGCTGGGAATCGGGGGATTATGGTTCATCTGAGGAAGGATTCCCTCTTCCATTAGGATGCCCATGCACACTGCATTGGCTTCTCAATCAGGCTTTCAGCTCCATATAAAGCACTCCCTCTCTTTCTTTCTCAATGGAAGAGCCCTGCTGAATCATCTCAAGGATCCCTCTAGTACCCCATTTGCTGTACTGGCCAGCCTGTGGTTTGTAACCTACCATCTGGCATACAACGAGATAGATGTCCTTCTGTTGGGTTGGGTGGATTGGCTAAGGTCTGAACAAAACTAGCCTCCCAAAATCTTCTCTCCAAATTGCAGGAGGTGAAATTTGGGTGGTTAGGTAGATTCACCAGATATTCTCTGGTGGGATGTGGGCAGAGTTCTCCAAAAGTTTTTAGATGGTTCAAAAACAAAACTCACAGGAAATTTCTCAGAGAATTCCTTTCCAATGAATTTTGATTAGTTGTGCCAAACATTCTTCCACTTAGTGACACAGTTTGTGTGTGTGTTCACTAAATATTTTCTCTGTCTCTCTGTGTGTTTGTGCATGTGTGTGTGTAATCGAACACTTGGAAAAGAGTCTGAAAAAGAAAAGAAAAGAAAAATCCAGATTTGTCACGTAATGTTCAAATCTTTTATTTAAAAGCCCCCAAAACACCTTGCCCTGAGAAGGGCTTATCCTCTTCTTCTTCTTCTTCCTCCTTAAATTTATTTACACTCTGCCTTTCCGCCTGGGCCCTTTCTCAGTGTCTAGGCAAGCTAGCAGGGAAGTGGAGGTAGGCAACTAAACGGATGGGAACTGAGCTTATTCCAAGCTGTCCCCATACACCATCACCCAGCCACTGTGATTACAGGGCCTCCAGCTAATGCCAGTTGAAATAGGATTCAGCTACCAATCCAGTCAGCTTCCATACATGGTATTGGAGGACTGTATCACTTTGTCCTTAATCTCAGGCAGCAAGCTTTTTGGGGCCAGCCCTTCTTTCACTGAATAATAATGCAAATAATCTACTTGCCACCATGTGGTAGTTTTCCCAAGAAAGAGAAAATGAGCCAAGACAACAGCATGGAGGTGTTATACTCACTGCACTGTTTCATGTATGTGACAGTATAGTCTAGGCCAGGCCTCAAGAAAAGCCATGTATTGATTTGGTTGTCCAATTCAGGAGGGGGAGCAAGGTTACCTCATTAGCCACACACCGCTTTGGATAAAAGATTTAAAATGATACCAGTCATTTATAATATTCACCTGCATCAACCTCAGGCTTATTATAACTATAATCTAACCTGTAATACCTGACCTAAAACTGTAAATCTTTAAGTGATTACATGGTCAGGGAAGTTCAGGCAGATATAATTTAATCATTTCAGAGCAGATTTAGCTGTAGGCTGGTTGCTTAGGCTGCTGGCACCTAGTCATATTTATGACACATTTAAATAAGAATAGCCAAAAAATGAATCAGACTTGACTTTGATGCAGGTAAGCATTTAGCAACTGCCTAATTGTATTTATCCGTGACAGAATCACAATAGAATCTCTTTATTAGATCTCAGTTCCAGAACATGGTGTACTTCTGCATCTCTCCTGGACCCTGAGCAGACCTGTAGGAATGCTGATGAATTTTGTTGCCGCTAGAGTTTAGAATAATAATAAAACATACTTAATCTGGTGTGGATTTTGCTGAACATGCTCTAAAATAAACCAAATGGGTGGCCATGCTTAATTCAGATGGTCTAAAAATAATAATGCAGGAAGTACCTTGACCCTGTCCTCTGGTTCCACGTTTCATGAAAATGACTTTTCTCATTGCAGTTGCTGTCCTGGGTTTCTTTGAGAGGAAGGGTGGGTTGTAAATTTAATAGTAAATAAAAAAGGAATATTTTACTTTATTTTATTTAAGATTCTTATATTTGTTAAGATTTATTCCATTTTATATGTTAAGATTCTAATGCGTTCCATTAAAAATGACTCCAAAGCAGTTTCTGTACAATAATTCAAAAAATATATATAGCAAAATATAAGATACAGTTAAAACATCAACAATAGGCCAACAACAAAAGTTAAAAGGATACAGTTAATATGATGCAGATAGAGACTAATTCAGACAATCCAAAATATTGATAAATCAGGAAAGGCAAGATCCTATCAATGTTGTGCCATTTTGTGCCCTTTAAGCACAGGATAGGGAGCTCCACATCTGGGGTGCCACTACAGATAAGGCCCTACAGGTCTCTCCACATGTTGGTGAGACAATGAGCAGAGTCCCTCTCCCAGCCACAGAGCGTGGCCTGGCTGATGTGGAGAAATGTAGTGCAGATTCCACTGGACAGGTGTTACCTGTCAATGCATGGAAGCGACAATCCTCTTGTGGCTGCATTCTGTACTAGCGTTTCCAGACCGTCTTCAAGGGCAGCTCAATGTAGAGTGCCTTACAGTAGTCTAAATGGAAAGTGGTAGTTTAGAGATCCCTAGGCTAATATAGCTCAGGTGGTAAAGTATGGGACTCTTAATCCCAGGGTCGTGGGTTCAAACCCCACACTGGGCAAAATATTATTGCATTTCATGGGTTTTGACTAGATGACTTTCATGGTTCCATCCAACTCTCAGTGAAGTATACTGTGTGAGGTGTTCATTTGTTTTTTTTAAAGTGTGGTGACATTTTTGCTGGTGCGATCTATCGCCACTCCCCCTCCTTCCGTTAACAGAGTGCTCCTCTGTGAGCTTCTAGTGGGGCTGGGCACCACAAAAACACACACATGTAAACCTGCCGTTTTGTGAGAGTCTGGTATGCCAGAAAACATGTATCTCAAAAACACTAGCCATGTTGGCTGTGCTTTACCTCCACAGCTGGAGGCAGCCAGGCTGCCAAATACCAGGTGCTGGAACACAGGAGGAGAGACTGCTATGGTTGGCCTGACTGCACTGGCTGCCAATTAGTTTCCATTGTCTGAGACACTTCTTCGTGTGCCCTCTCAGAGGGTGGCAACTCGAGAACTCAAGGCCTATTCCGTGGTGGCTCCCAGTTTGTGGAATGCTCTCCCCAGGGAGGCTAATCTGGCACCTTCATTACATATCTTTAAGTGCCAGGCAAAAACTTTTCTCTATAATTAGGCCTTTGGCTGATCAAACATTCTATGGCCTTTTACATGAGTTTGTGGGAGAGAGGTTATTGGGTTTTGTTTTGTTTTTACTATGTGTTTTCATTTTGTATGCTTATGTTGTGACCCGCCCTGTGATCTTCAGATGAAGAGCGATATTGTACAAATGTAATAAATAAAAAATTAAATCATAATAAGAAGAATAGAGGAAAAAGCCACCGTCTCCAGCTATCTAGTGCATGACAAATCAACTAAGAGCCAGCATGGAATTATTTTGAATCCCATTGTGGTGACCCCTTATTTTATATTATTTCACTCTCACACTATATTTGTGAGACATCCATCATCCAGTAAGCTTTGTGATAAAGCAGAACTTAAACGTGGGTCTAGTCGCAACTCTAAAGAAATAGAACTATTAATGCTGGCAACATTGGGTCTCTGAAGGATAGATTCTACGTTTGTAAAGTGATGCTTGTCAGTTAAGAAAATACTTATTTGAAAAGGCTTGTGAGTAACGTTAGTGCCGATGTGTATTATTTAACCACATGCAATGGTCACCATCCACTGGAGATTCGTTTCAGCAACTGCATGCCCAACTATTTATATTCCTTTAAAGCGGGCATGTGCAGATGTTCCTGGTGGATGGTGCTCCTTATTTATCACCAACAGAAGAGACAGCCCAATATTTCATCTGATGAGCTATTATGGCTTTAGTGAACCATCTCTTAACCAGAAGCCTTTAACACTGTCTGGGGTTGTCTTTAATGCTTTTCACACATTTTCTGAGTTTTAGCATCTGACTTAAGTCTTCTGTTCAAAAGACTGGGCATAAAAACTGGTATAATGGAACCACTATTATTTTTTTTATCACCACCGCCTTTGTTATTGGAGATCTAATGACAACAGCTCTGTCTGCATCTCAAGTGCCCGACTTGTGCAGGGGACAGAGGCTCTTTCTGTGAGCCTTTAATGTCAAATGTTGAGCTGCTTCCAGAAATAATGCACTTTTAGCAATGGTAAGCCCGATATTTTTAAGAGGGCCACTGGAACAATATTGCTTAAAACATTATTTTAGGAGACTGGGAGAGGGTGGGTGGAATCCCTACTCCCCCCCAATCCCCTTTGTTTTAAATACCTTCCTTGTTACAAATTTGCTAGTTATGAAAAAGAGTGAGGAAAAATGCTATTTGCTTTGGTAATCGGATTCAGTGGCATCTAATCCTATATCGTATTTATGGCTGTGCTAGCTATTCAAAATTAAAATGAACCTTTCATCCATGTGTATCATAAATGGGCATTTATCAGGATTATATGATTTTGCAATCCATCTGAATATGTAACCGGAATTTGTTTTCTTTCCGTTTCACTATGTAATTACCATGCGACAATAACAAAAGTGACATGTTTGAAGAACAGATAAAATGCTGTAAATTGGCCAGTAATGGTGATATTTCCTCATCTTCTGAAAAACCCATTTATTCTCTCTCTCGACAAATCAAGGCATTGTCAGCCCGCACTCATCTTGTGGCCGGAGGGGCCCTACCAATTTCTAGATGTAAGTGAATACTGGAATGCAGATGAGGCCTACTAACTAAGGCTTTCAACTCAGGCAGCTGGTCTTAGCTTGCCTCAATTTCTAAATCATCCATAATGGGGCCAGGACCTCCGAAGCACTAAAAAGAGCGAGCTGACATGCTGGACAAACTGTTAATTTTTTTTCCTGAAGAAGCTGCTATATTGCACATCTGTCACTGCTATGCAGACAATTACTCACAGAGTGGAAAAAAATCTGCTGCTTGTTTCTAGTGTAGTTGTTAACTGACATAATGGCGAAATACAATGGTTTAGGAGAGGCATAGAGAGGGTTTCCCTCCTCCCTTTTAAAAAATTCTCCTCAGTTGTTGTTTTTTTCCATTTTGAATGCTTCTGTATTCTGGAACATTCCACATATGTAAAAGCCCAATACCAAGGCTATGAAACAATAGTCACAGAGCTGGTTAAAAACATTTGGGGTTATCAACCTCAGCTTTCCCTCTCTCCTCTAAACATTCACATCATGCATTAGTCATTATTGGTAGTTTTTAAAATAACTGTATAGTTTATAAAAGGCATTTCCACATACAAAGCTTTGAAATTCCAATTGACAGAGGGTATTTACTGTAAAAGACATCTTTTGTCAATAATCTCCTTAATTTGAGATAATTGCTAAATCTTTATTACATAAGTGGATATTTTTATTGTACTTAAAAACAGGTTAGTATTAAAAAAATTCAACAGGGTAATAAATAATCTAGCCATGTTATTCCTCCACCCCACATAGCTAATGGGGAGAGATTAGGGTTTGAATAGTCCTGTACACATGGGAGAAATGAACTTATAGGAGATAATATGGCAATTTGAATGTGAGATAACTGGGGGATCTTCCATTCAGTTGTTCACTGCTTTCAACAAGAAGGAAGGTGGGGAAGAAGAACTGATGGTGCCAAGAGATGGGGAGAAAGCCTTTCCTCCTCCCAGGAGGGGAGGGGTTGTGAGCGGGAGACGATTCCCGCATCATGCAGCGGGCGCTCCGCCCCCTGCTTCAACTCCAGGGCTGGCGCCACGCCCCTCCCCAGTTGGGCACCCAATAGGGAAGCTCGGCAGGGGCGTGGCTTGCTGCTCAAACGCAGCCGCACCAGCTATCCCCACCATTGCACACACATTTTCTTCGAGTCACCCACCCTCCACTCCCTTTAGATTAGCTGTTCCTGAGACTTTGCTAAGGACCTCTGGTTGGTCGCCCTGTTTAACCAGGGGGCCTGGTAGGAGTTTTTTCAAATTGGCTAAATTGGCCCAGCCTCTTGGTTTTTCCCGCCTACCTCGTAGCAACCGTCACAACTTTCGTGGTATTTGGCGGTTAGGCATTGGAATGTGTTGTTGGTGTTTCGGGGGGCAAGGTGTAGCCATCGCCTTCCCCAACAATTTTGGGTATTCCGCTAAAGGAATCCGGCGGTCGTGGATCCTGTCCGATGCCCGTGTGGCGGGAGTCCATGGCATGACCCTCGGTGACATCAGGAAGAGAGCCTATAGTTGTATTAGCATCAACAGGCTTCCCCTACTGGTGGTTAACCCCTCCTCAGACTCACCCCTCTACGAGTGGGTGGAGTCTAATGTTCCGTGGTCCAATGCCTAAGCCAATACCTTCTCACATGCTGTAATCAATAAAGTTGTGGCCTTTACCTTACCCATTAACCTTACATTCTGTGTCCACGTGTCTTTATTCCCCAAGCGGGGATCGGGTCCTCAAATCACAATCCCCTGTTCCTGTTCCTGATCTGTCCCTGAAGTTAATCACAAGGAAATGGGCTAAAAGGCCAGAAACACTGGAAAGATGTGCTATATTCATTGGTAGGGAAACAAGTCAAAACATTCCAATTGCAAGCCAAAGCATAGCATTGTAAAGAAATCATGCACACTCTGAGTTTCATTGAAGCTTTTATTATAAGCATCCTGACTGGGACACCCAAGTTAAAATAACCACTCAGCCCTAATGCCTGCCCCCCCCCCGACAAAAGCCTACTTCACAGGATTATGGTGAGTCAGAGATAACTTTGTATGTTTCTCTGAGCTCTCAGTGGAGGAAGGGAAGATAAAAATGTAATGGTGTATAACATCTATGTGTGATGTCTGCACGTTCATTTTGCAATTAAAAATTAGAACATTGTGCAGCTGGAAGCAAAGCCCTGCCTGACAAAAGCCAGCACAGCTGTAAAGGTCTTGCTCCATTTGGACTGAAATCAGAATTTCACTCTGGTTCTCATTCTGAGTTAAGTGGGAAGTTAAAGTGCCTAATGCCGCCGCCGATGTGTTATCAGTTAGGTACAGTGCGGGTATTTCACAGATATGGGAAAACTGTCCCCCCCAGTGTTGTTGGACTGCATCTCCCATTGGCCATCCCTAATCATTGGCCACTCTGGCTGGAACTGAGAGGAAATGGATTCAAGCGAAAACTGGAGGGCTATAGGTTACCCACACCTGCTTTCAAGGGGTGTTGGAAAAAGGTGGGCAGCCAGATGTTGGAGTAGAATGACCACCATCCTTGACCAATGACCATGTTAGCTTGAGGCTTGTGGGTGTTGCAGTCCAACAGCAACTGGAGGGCACCACATTGGCTACTCCTGGTGTAAGGGGCTGGAGCATATGGCTCCACAGACTACTACCAAGCAACTCATGGTTAACCATGGCAATCCATAGTAAAGCAATCAGCCTTTGGCACCAGCCCAGCTCTTGTCAAACTTATAAAGAACTGAAGGCTATTCTTGTAAGCTACCCTGTGTACTATTGCAGCACTGCCTATCTGTCGAGTCAGAGCTCAGCTTGGGTAGTCACATGATTAATAATAGAAAGTTAACCAAGATGGGAATGATAGAGAAATATCCCCTCGTACAGGCATCCCCAACCTTCGGCTCTCCAGATGTTTTGGACTACAATTCCCATCATCCCTGACCACTGGTCCTTTTAGCTAGGGATCATGGGAGTTGTAGACCAAAACATCTGGAGAGCCGCAGGTTGGGGGTGCCTGCCTTAGTAGTTAACAACCAGAATGAAATAGGGGGAATCAGTGCTTTTTTTCTTAAAAAAATGTTTAGGGGTACTCTCATTTCCCTACTCATATTGAAATACTGCCCCTCAATGAGGCCAAACTTAGATTCACAAAATGTTTAGGGGTATGTGTACTCCTGCGTTCCCCCCCCCCCAGAAAAAATGCACTGGGGAGAATGTTGGTGTATTGGTTCTGTGTTACCTTTGCCCTATAAGCCAACTGTAGCACTCATTAAGAATTACTTATGCTTTCAGCGATCCTGCCAGTTTTCATTTACTATGTATTAATGTGGCTCATGATTAGCCTCTTGGTGAGTTGCTGCTCTTACGACATAGCCTAAGATGAGAAACAGGAAAACAGTTTAGAAATAGCTCACCTGTTGATTTAGGCAAGGGTTGAATGTAGGAGGGAAGAGATCAGTGTGATTCCTTCTTATATCCACAGCTAGTTTTCTAACCAGAATGCACAGGCAAAAATGCACCTACGTTTGTTCCAACTACAACGAAACACAAACATTTCCCTGAAAAAGTTGACACGGAATCGAGTCTCATTGTTCCGCTGCAAATGCAGCGATGTCTGAATCAGGGGGATGATTTATGCTGTCTGACAATTCAAAGACAGGAGACAACTCTAATGTACAGATAAAACCAAAAGTGGCAATAGTAGATCATCACACTGACAGTTAATGGGACTGACTCGCTGGAGAGAAATCTGGATCTACTTAAAATGTCAGGTGTGTAAAGTAATGAGTCTGTGCTTAGTAGGAGACCTCCAGAAGGAGCCTTCATGGTCCACTCGTCAGTTGAATATATATTACGGCAAACCTGTTAAATCAATGAGTATTTAATACCTAATGACTTGGGGTTTTTTTCTTTGAAAAAGACCCATTCTTACCCCTAAGGCAACTTGTGTGATTCTAACAGATCAAAAATTTCTGAGAATGCAATCAATGTTATTGGAAGGATTAATATAACAACAAAAACTATAGTCAGATTTCATCTATTTGAAATAAGTCAGTGGATAAAGAAATGAATGACCAATTGCCAAATGCTGCAACCTTTTTCAAATTGTAGGAACTCTGCATGGGAGTATTTTTAAATGACAGGAACTCTAGGTGAGAAAACTAGTGAGATTCTTGGGACTAGTCAATGCATTATTATTATCATGCAGATGCACTTGAATCAGTCATCGAAGGGTGCCTAACCACCACCAGAAATAGGTCATATTGCTGGCATGAAACCTTCCCCTTCCACACAGAAGAAGCATGTGGTACTGAACATTATGGTGACATAGAGGATGCTTGAAGCATTCTCTCATGGGATAAAAATAATGTACAGCCAAGGTTTTAGTTGCACACCCCAGTCTTCACCACAATTCTCAGAGGAATAACATAAATCAGGGGTTTTCAAACTGGTGGCCTGTGGCATGTCTGTGAAGAACATTTATAATTTTAATTCTATGGAATTTGAATTGCAATGCAGTAAATACGTACAATAGAAGTAAAAGAAGCTATAAAAATGCAATTAAAATGATGCAGCAACTAGCATAACACATTAGAATTGCTATGACAGACATGAGCCTCAGCACTTTTCAAGTGATTCGTGAAAAAACAAGTTTGGGAAGTGCTGGCATAAACTAAAACATTGGCTACTGATGGCTATAACCCTAAAATGTAATAGTGTGGATTTTAACTTTTTCTAAGCCACCTGGAGACCCACTTCTGATTCAGCTACATTAGTCAAAAAATAGCATTTTAAATGTGTTATAAACATGCAGCACCAGATGGTGCTATAGAGCACAAAACCTTTCTATGCGATTTCCCCCTTTTGTTATAACGATTTAATTTGTGACTTATAGCATTCCCCCCCCTTTTGTGTAGATCCACCCCTATATGTTTACTATACCTCTTTACCCTTTAACATTTAAGGCATTTTGTTTTGTGGGGACCCCCCTCCCCAGTAGAATTTATAATGTTCTGTTCTGGCTGGTCACAGTTTTGAAACTTTAATTTCAGTGTGGATGTCGAGTCACTTTCTGCTAATTCAACTTCTGGTTTTTTAAAATAAAAAACACATACTGAATTTTAAAAGGCAAAATGGAAGGGCAAATGGTAGGAAACAAGCTTATTACACAATTATCCCTCTACAGCAGAACATATTTGTATGCCTATCGTTTTTCATTTTAATCACAAAGTGGAGATACAGTGCTACATGCACCCAAAAAAAGTCAGTTTGATTATATATTAAATGCACATACAGTGCTTTCATTAAAGCTGCATGTATGTACGGTAGTCTAGTATTACTTGGATAACAAATTAATCAAGTCTACTA